TGACAGAGAAGTAAGGGACAGGGAGCACGACCAAGGAATGAAAGGAAAAAACACTGATGAGCCACAGGACAAAGGGATGTAGAGAAAAGGGAGGAGGGACAGAGAAAAAAAGATGGGGATAGAGCATGGGACACAGAAAGAAAAAAAGCTGGGTAAGGAACAGGACAGAGGGACTGAGGGTGGTGGTGAGGGGGAACCAGATGTAGATTAAGACAAGAGATGGAGAAGGGGGAAAAAAAAACAGTGATGGGCTGCTGGACAGAGACAGATGAAGAAAAAGTAGGGCCAGAGTAGGGGAGAAAGGAAAAAAGGAACAGCTGGCTGGACAGGGGGTTATGACTAGAAAAAATGAGACAGGCAGCAGGACAGAGGCATAAAGGCAGAAAAAACAGGGAAAGGAAGCAGGACAGATGGTGAGGAAAAAAAGAAAGGGCCAGGGAGCAGGACTGAGAGATGGAGAAAGAAGTATTACGGCCAGAGGGATAGAAAGAGGAAAGCACAGGCTGGAAGGACGGGGCAGGGTGGAACAATGGATACAGATTAAGACAGAGTGACAGAACCCAGACAGACAGCAAGAGAAAGAAAAAACCAGTGGCAAGCAGCAGGCCAGAGGGGGGGGCAGGGGGGAAGGAGAGACAGCGGGGCGGGAAGGAGAGACGGGGGGGCGGGAAGGAGAGAGGGGTAGAGAAGACAAGTGAGGGACGGGAAGCAAGAAAATGGGATACACAGGAAAAAAAAAAGAGGAATGGGGAGGAGGACACCGGGATAGAGAACAAGTAAGAGCAACGGGGAGAATGACAGGGAGATGGAGCCAGAGGAAGAAGAGGGACCAAGAGCAGGACAGAGAAATGGAAAAGGAAAATTAGGGATGGGGAGCAGGACAGACAGGTCCTGGAGAGACAACGAGGGACACAAGTATAATGACAGAGAAAGAGGGAGGAAGGGAGGGAAGGACGGATGGCGAGCAGCACAGCAGGATGCAAAAAGAAAGAGAGGAATGGGCAGTGGAGCAGAGAAATGGAGAAAGAAAATAATGGTGGAGAGCTGGAGAGAGAACTAGAAAGAAAAATAAGACAAGGGAGAAGACTGAGGAGCAGAGAGAGAAAGGAAGGTAGAAGGATAAGATCAGAAAGGTAGAAAAGTAAAAAAAATAATAAGGACGAGAAGCCCTGCAAAGAGATGGCACAAGAAAACATAGGGTCAGTGAGCAGGACAGAGGGATAGAGATGGAGGGGGAAAGGAGAGGAGGGAGGAAGGAGGACAGGGACAGGGTGCAGAACACACAGACAGAGAGAGAAAAAGGACAGGGAACAGCAAAAAGGGATTGAGAGAAAGGGTCAGATTGGTACAAAGAGACCAAGAAGGAAAAATTAAACAAACAGCAATGGGCTAGAGGACAGAGGCAGAGGAAGAAAAAGGGCCAGGTAGCAAGAAAGAGGAGGAGAGAAAGGGAAAAAGTCAGAGCTGGTTAGACAGGGACGTATAGCAACAAATGACCAGACAGGCAGTGGGACAGGGAAATAAAGACAGAAAAACCAGGGACAGGAAGCAGAACAGAGGGACAGTGAGAGGAAACAAGGGGCAGGGAGCAGGACAGAGGTGGAGAAAGAAGCATTGGGGCAGAAGGATAGAAAGAGAGAAGAGACAGGAAGAGGGATGGGAGATGGGGGTGGGTGGGAACAAGGAGCAGGACACAGATTGTCAGAGGAAGACAGGGAGCAAGACAAGGTGATACAGAGAGAGAAAAAAGGGACAGGGAGGCAGGACAAAGTGGAAGACAGGCAAAAAGAAGAGACGGGGAGTAGGACAGAGATGGAAGAGAAAAAACCTAGGATGGGCAGCAGGACAGATAGCTGGAAAACAGAAAAAAGCACTGAACTGCAGGACAGAGATGGACTGAGAAAACACAGCGACGGGGAGTAGGACAGAGTGACAGAAAACAAAAAAAACAAAGAGGGAACAAGACAGAGAATGGGGGGAAAGGCAAGGAGGAGGACAGAGAAACAGAAAGAGAGTGAGAGGGATAGGGAGCAGGACAGAGAGATGGAGCAAGAAAGGAAAAAAGGATGGGAGGCAGAACCAACGGAAAGAGAGACAAGGACGGGGAGCAGGACAAAGGGATGGAAGAAGAAAAAAATTAGTGATGGGCTGCAGGACAGAGATGAAGGAATTAGAGAAGACACAAGGAGCATGACAGAAGGACAGAGAGAGAAAAAAGGGACAGAGATCAGGCCAGCATTAGAGGGGAAAAAAGCAACAGTGATGGGCAGCAGGAAAGAGATACGGAGAAAGTAAAAAAAAAAAATGAGGAAGACAGAAAGGAGAGAAGGGACAGCTAGCTGGACGGGGGGATACAGTTAGACAGGATGGGAGAGGGAATGGGACAGAGAGAGAAAGACAGAAAAGATAGTGAGAGGAAGCAGGGCAGAGGGACA